CAAGAACAGACAAAACACCCTCACATTGAACCTTCTTCTTTTCTTGGTTCGCAGTATCTAGCCTTTATTTGGGGACCCAAATCTCTCTTCAAAGGATTGGGAAGAGTTAAATTCCCCTCCAATACTCTAAGAATCTGTTCCAAATCCTTATCTACACACCCCGATTTAGCTCTTCCATCCAAATTGCCAACCACATCCCCATCCTGTTGGGCCTCCACACCCTTGGAATTACTAATAGCACGTTTTTTGATAATGTTAATCACGTTCTTCATCACCTTTGCCTTTAACCGACCATCCAAGTTGAACTAATAAAAAAAATCCATTATTCCCACTATATCACGTGCAGACTTACAACTTTCGCTTCTTTCAAAAACTGACTATCTCGCCGCGTGTTCCAACACAATCTCGTGCTCCACCACATCCTCGAATTTCGAAGGAATCTTCCCCATACCAACAACATTATTCCTTAAACCCATAATATAATTCTCCCCTATGTTCCTCTCCACTACTTCCCCACCCGACAAGATGCAGCCATTAAATCTTTCCCCCATACAACATAATAGACTTTCTTCGTCCACAGAACATTGCTCAGAAATCTTCTCCACCGAACAGTCCACGTTTCTACCAGCTGAACAGTCCATGTTTCTACCAGCTCCCTCAAGACATACCTCCACCACGGGAGAAATAACTGGCGAGACACCGACGAGCTCCCCCACTAAAGAGAACGGGGAGGCAACTGCCTCATCCATCAGGAACGAGTCTGCCCAGACCGAATCAGGACTGAAACAAGGCTCAAACTCAGAAATAAAAACTGTAAGAAACAAATCCCCAGCTTTCAAAACAACGAATTCTTCCACACGTGTTTGGCAGTTTGTAATAATTTGAAACAAAGCCCTGTCAAAAGAGCCTGGATTCACAGATCCTTCCTCAATGGAGATAAGTTCTCCCCATTTGTCTGCAATGCTTCTGAAGGTGGAAGGATTCCACAAAAATGGTGGGATCCCTTTGCACGATAGCCACGCCCGGCGGCTACTGCAATGAAAGTTTTCCGACCACACTTCTACTTTGCCAAAACATTTATTCAATGCCCCCATCTGATTGTTCAACGTGAAATCCCTACTCTCTTCATCCTCAAAAATGATTAGAACTGCTAGCCCGCTTAACCTCATAATTTTCGGGCCTAATATGCCTTCCTTGTGCATAATAGCAGTCAACTCTTTCATCTTAAAAAAATTTCTGCACCACCCTACCAACCTGCCTCTGCAAGTTGAAAGCTTGTCCTCGTCAACAGAACCCACAATGGGAACCTCTGAACGCCCAACATCCTCCCTATTACTCTTGCTCACGGCTGGTTTTAAGCCAGAAAACTTCTTTCTCCAAAAAGCTGCCCGAGGTTGAAATTTGGCCAAGAAAACTCTAACTTCATTACCACGAATCCTAGATCTGTCAACACAGCTGATAGCCTTCCTTGCGTCCTCCAAACTGGTGAAACGAACAAAGCCAAACCTACTTCCTCCCTTGCTTCTTTTGTTAGGGATGAAAGAATCGACCACCTCTCCATATTTATCGAATAACAACCAAAGACCTTTATGATGAAAAAGCTCTGGAATGTTGAAAATGATCACCGTAAAACAATTCTTCCCAGCAGAACTAATCACCTTACTTGCCATCATAAGACAAAAAGAGAGATCAAAGAAAGAGCTGAAAAAAATGCCTAAAAATCTAGAGAGAAGCAGGAGCTTCTCACTAGTCTTTATATTTTCAGGCCATAAGATATATAAGCAACCAAATTATATGGCTGCCGTGTGTGTCTTTTGAAAGCCACGCAAATAGCAAACTAAAGCAATTACAGAAAAAAAGATGTTTACTGTGTTTGGGAAGGCATTAATTGAGTCACCACCATGAGCACACACCAGGGGAGGATTGTTCAGCCAACCCACACCTGCTTAGTTGGGTCTGCAATATAAACATAAAAATAAAGTTGTACTAGTAATTGAAAACATATATGTGACAAGCATCCCCTTTAACTGAGGAATAAAATAAATTGAAAACATGGGAACGCAATGGTGTTCGAGGAATTTTTTAGACAGCGTGTCACTGTTCTTCATTGTTAGATTCAGGCTTGCTAAATGGTTCCATGCCAAATTTCCGGGTATTAATATACAAGAGGATGTGTTGATTGGTAATCCATCTCTTGCAGATGGTGTTTCATCTTGTAATGTTAAAGATCGTATTGTCTTTCGGTGGTTACCCCCCCAGTAGACTTCCTAAAGATGAATGTCGATGGAGCTGTTAGGAAGAACGATTCAGATGGAGGTATAGGAGGCTTATTAAGAGATTGGAATGGTTGCACTCTTTTGATTTTCTCAGAGAGTATTGGTCAAGCAATCCCCCCACTTGCTGAATAAAAGCTATGAAAAGAGGCATGGATATTTTTCTGTATTCTCGGTGGGCTTCAGTTGGTAGGTTGATCGTTGAAAGTGATGCTCGTCTGCAGTGGAATGGATTCAGTCCCGACTCTGGCACCTATTTTTTTCTTGCCTATTGTTTATCAGATTTCGAGTCTTATCTGTGGAAAGGTTCATTCAGTAAGGTTGATTCCAAGGGAGTGTAACTGAGAGGCAGATAGCTTAGCAAAGAAAGGGATAGGTTGATTGTAAGGGTCTATTTGTGGTTTTCTTGACCAAGTGTGTAGGTTTTTATGTTGAGAGGAGGAGTGTTTAAGTCTTATGTCAAGCAATTTAGTGCTATTTTTAACTTTTATGTAATGTTCAATATTAATAAAAGTTTCAAGGCACTCTTTTCCTCCTTCCTATGATTAACGACCTTTCTTCAAGGTCGTTAATTTAAGAATGGGGTTTTTAATGAGGCCTTTCATTCCTATAAAAAAAAAATCTTCAACTTAGAATATTTAGAAAAAAATTATTTAAATCATTCAGAAGCCTATCCAATATTATATCATATAGTGAACATCAACTAAGTAGAATAACCTTAGTAAAATGTTTGAAAACTCCCTTGTCATCATCATTGAAGAAAATTTAGAAAGAGCACACGCATACAATTATATCAAGTATCGACTTCTATTTTATGTTTGAGTCCTCCATTTGTAGGTTTTACATGAAATTCAGTTGTAACTCAATCAATGTTTTTACACCTAATGAATCACAAACAACTTCAACGGGCAGGAGGTATAGAAAAGTGCAAAGAGAGAAATAACAGAGCAATCTTAAACAGTTAAAGGGAAAGCAGCAATATCGCCTCAAAGTTTACCACTGAAAAACTGCAAGGGAAAAAGAATACAGAAAGCTAGAAAAAGTGTAAATAAAAAACAAGTAAAAAATTCCTTAAACCTCGAGCTTTGAGTTAAGAGGATCATATTCCACTGGATCAAATTCTCTAATATATCTCACCCCACAAACACCAAAGTAGATAAAATGGCAAAATTGTCAAAACTAAGTTGTTCCTGCGTTTGCTAGATACTGCTCTCCAACTAGCCATAATACCTACCACCTCTTCACCATGACTAAATGAAAGGAAGACAAAACATAGACAACTTATGAAGCAATTACGTATTATATGTTCATATGTTTCATTTATGACAATAGTAATTAGATTAATATATCAAATCAAAGATTTATAACATGGGAAACATTTGCAGATGGTTTCAGTCAAAGCAATGACTCAAATAATAATATAAAACAATCATAAAAATCATGGAAAAGAGTTAGAAAGAAATTAACTGCATGTCCAGGGTAATAATGAAAGATATTACACAAACTCGGCTTTTAAGAAGCAAATATTATCACATAGAAGTTAATTGGAGAAATATATATATGATTTGAAAAAAGATCTTTATGTTGAAATTAAAGTACCAGTTTCTCAACATTTGCTACAATGATTCCACATGTGGAAAAAAATCAAATAATGCAATTACTTTAGAAAGCCTCCACATTTCCAAAGTCACGTCATCTAGGAAGGAAATTCAAAATAAAATTAAAAAATCAATTAAATGGAAATAATTGCTCGTAAACAATCATCTTGAATTTATAGGGGCATCAAATACAAAAAAAAAATCAAATGAGAGAACTCCTATCCTGATCAAAAGTAGAAAAACAGCGAATTCGGGAAAATAAGGCGTTGGGATTGGAACCTGATGAAAACGGCGGAGCCTGAAGTGGAAAGAAAGGGGAGGCAAATAAGGATGAACGAAGCCTTGAATAAAGAAGAAATCTAAACAGAGGGGTTCCATGGCTGCGCCTTCTTCCTACTGGTGGTTTCATTTCTACTATTAGTACGTAGTACGTACGATTCCCACCAAATTATTTTATACTATATATGCTCTGGGTTCTGGCCTGTGTGTCTGCAGGCCCAACCCCAATTACATAATACAAAACAAAGGAATTTTTTCCACACATACTGATTTCATTTTCTTACTGATTTCATCCAAATTTTCTCAATTTCATTCATTTCTACCCTATTATTTACTCTTTCTTGATTTGTGATTGGAGGTTTTGTTTGTCACTGATTTCATTTTCTTACTGATTTCATCCAAATTTTCTCAATTTCATTCATTTCTGCCCTATTATTTACTCTTTCTTGATTTGATTGGAGGGTTTTGTTTGTCACAAACTGGTTGGCATTCCCAGTTCCTCCATAATTCTTTTGAAACGAACATCACAGAATCACAATAATTGGAGAATTTTTTAAAGTGCCAACAACCGCACCAGAGAGAATCTGAATGCCCTCCAATGGCTACATTGCTGCTCAGATTAAAAAATATAAAGATTAGTTCGTCACCATTAAGCTTCTCTTCGAAGAAGGAATCAAAGTTTGGTAGAATTCACTAGTAGCTGAATTTCTAGGTAAAAGCTTCAATTTTAGCTCATTTCATGATTGGTGTCAATCCTGCTGTTGATGTATGCTTTGATTTATACTGTATTTCATTTGCACCAATTTCCATATTTTAAAATATAAAAAAAAGATATGTTAAAAAAACTATAATAAAACGCTAGGTTTACATTATAAAACAATATTTCATTTTGCATCAATTTCTTATAAATTTATGTGTATTATTTTTAGATATTGCTGATTGATGTATATGCTTTGATATGTATTAGCTGCAACTTGCTAGTGGGTTAACTATAGAAGTTTATGCTCTAAGAACCATAAAAATGAGAGAATTATTTATCCCAAGAGTGTCCAAAGCTCCTGCTATATTATGGCCTTCACTGGTCTCTAAAGAGTTGATGTTAGGGTTGCCTTGGGGTACTGCATCTTCTATTTTGAAATTGTCTTCACTGCAAAGGAGCTTCTCACTGCCGTGTGCAACGGTACCTTTCAAAACTATGGTCTTGTTTAGGCCACCTAGCAGGTCCTCATAGTCGGTATCCCCTCGCTCCCCACAAATAAGACCAATTTCGAAAGATCAATTCCCCACCTTATCGAAAGATACCTGCATAGCACATGGACTCATTTAACTCTAGTTTTATTGCTTAGACTGTAGCAATGTTTTGGTGTAAAAGAATCTATTCTGACCTGAGTGCTTGCATTCTTGATGCAAATAAGGGCACCACATTTAACCTTGATGCCGCACGTGAGTAGACAAGATGCATCGGAAGCCTCTCATCCGAAGCCTCTGGCGAAGGTCATCTATTCTTTGAGGCTGCCACAACTTGGATTCATCAATTTATGTTTGGAATGCATGTTTTATTGGTAGTTCTCTAGTATTAGTACTAAGCATACTCACCTTTGCACCAGGTTTAATGCTATAAGAGTATTTTGAGTTGGTAGTTCTTTAGTATTAGTATTAGTGTTAACCAGAAAGCATACTCACCTTTGTACCAGGTTTGATGCTATAAGAGTAGCATCTGGAGCTACGTGCAGCTACATACTCGGTGATGTCTTCTACTCCATCTTCCATCTTAGCAAGCCTCATTGCCATTGACCTAACATTTTCACCTGGCCATCTGTACGCCATGTGAGCTTCATAGTCTGTATCTGCCCACCATATCCCTCCACGGATAGTACATTCACTTCCGCTATTACAGACCAAGCATCAAAATCTTCAATATTACTGAACTAGAACTCAATGCTTGCATAGTCTCTCCCAAACTTGACCCGGTTAGCAACAAAGCCTACCTTTCCTATGCCAACACATAAGCCCACATCTTTCATTACGTTCATGATTATTGCTGGGAAGGTCTCTGTAATTTCTCCATTATTGTCATAGCAATCAACTGCTATTGCACATAACATCTGTCTTCTACCCGGACTGTAGACAATGCTGGTGTTGCTATTGGAAGAAGCCATTTGAGTATGGCTTCAATGATTTTCTTCTGTCTGGCTGCTGCATCGACCTCTCCATTGAGTTTGATATCTCCCTCTATGGAAAATCTAAGAGATGTCTTCCACATCCCTTAAAGAGTCACTCATTGGTTCTTCAAGAATTTTCATGATCTCAAGACGGCTAGTCGGGTGGCGATTCCTGCAATGTTCAACATGTGAGAGGTCGTTACGACAGTGTTCTGTCCATGAAAAGCGGTGTATGTTTCTCAGGCCATTTTTTTCGGCACTCAGCCCATAGGTACTTGTCAGCAAGAAGCTTGAGGAGGGCATCTGCTATGGCTTTTTGATCATGTGGGTCAACAAGGAGGCCATTGTTAAGTACCTGTGAAAAAACTCTTGTTGTTATTATGTTAGAAACACGTCATTTACATTGGAAAAACATTGTACGTAAACTTGCCAAACCCTAGTAGAGTGAAGGTAGAGTAAGGATAGAGTTCCTCACAAGATTAGGCAAACTTCTATATGTTAACACTTCAGATTTGGCATTAATAGACAGCATGATTTTTATCAACCTTGTGGAGATTTCTGGGATTAGTAGATTTAAGGGTATTAAGCAACTATATTGATACTACATTGAAGCGCATATTCTTTCAGTAAGCTAATTATGACTTGTGCTGGAAGATAAAAAAAAAACTGTTGGCATATATTACATCTTACCTTCAGATATCCACTGGCCCACCATTTTTGGTGGCAACAACAGGTAGACCATAAGCTGCTGCCTGTGAGATGAAATAAAAATGAGAACTAATAATTATAGAACTCGTGATTACCTTGAATTCATTTACATGATCCTTAGAGCTCTGAAGTGGGTTATTTTTTAAATGCTTATTGTAGAAAGTATGATGTTACTATGATCCAGCTTACTCATAGCAACTCAAAACCTTTGTAGTTACCTCAATGACAGTAAGACCAAATGTTCCACCAGAGCTGGGTTGATGAAAACTCCCTTCAAGAATAGAGTTGCCGTAAAATGTCAATATTAACAGTTTTATGTTTGCAGAAAGACAACAGAGTGAAGAACAAGGCGTGGCGAAATTCTTAGCAAACGTACACTACATATATGTACCTTGGTCTTGGCAGCTAAGCGGTAATCTCAGGAACTTGTGATTGTTTGTGATGCTTGGGATAGGCCACTTGACCATATAGGTCATAACTATCTATGAGCTTTAGTACAGTAGTCACACAACTGAGCTGCTGTTGGACATGTCCTCAATATCTCTGTTTCCAAGTATCAATGTCTGTAACAATAGGATATAGTTTCAGTAAACAGACTAGTTGATGTTTATGATTATCTTACATATATAGTTGGATCCTGTTTTGAAGTCAAACTTAGTTTTACCAGGTTGGCCAATTCTCTGAGGGGCTGACACTCTCCAAAACCTTGAGTAATGTAGTAACATTTTCTTGGGGTCTGGACGAGACAATGCAAGTATGGTTGCTTGTGAGGATTTGTGAAAAACCGCATCTGCTTCGTAAAATCAGACCAGCTCATGTCATATCATATCAATAGTTTTAGTGCTCAAATATTTATCCTGTTTGGGTATGGCAATAGGTAAGATTCACTTATAACAATTGTATGTATTCATGACTAGAATTATCAGATCCAAATTGGGGGGGAGAGAATAGTGTCTGACCTCAGACCATATTTGAGGTAGATGTCCTTTGTTTTGAACTCTGTCGTTGGATCCAAGCAATGACTTGAGGTCGCTATCATTTTCCAATGAATCTTGTGTTGTAACATAGCTGAAGTCCATGCCTGGAGGTATGACCTAATATCATAAAAGAAGTTAAGAAAGTAATAATGTTGCTGCTAATTAAACTTTAACCGGTCAGTCTTTCTGCAAATGAATGTGATCATATGTTTACTAGAACTCGAAAGTAGTTGTACTCAGATAAAGTGCAGAGAATATAATTTGGTAGAAACAGTAGAATACAGAATTGTACTTTCTAGGAGTGGAAATATAATCTATGTATTGTTTATATTGCAGAGAATATGGGTGTACCACCATCCTTGGCATGTAACGCCCGAGGCAACTCACTCCACGCCGTCTCCTAACTCGAAGCTTCCTTTCTAACTTAAGATCAAAGCCATCATATAATCCCCATTGCTCTTCTATCTCTTGCCTTGTGCTGGTGACCACCATTTCAGCAGCATCCAGCCCCAACTCTTCACCCTCAATCCTCCTTATTATCTTGTATGTGGCATTTATGGCTTCCTTAGACAGCCTGCCTTGTTTAAGCAGCTGCTCAAACTTGTTCCGGCCAAGTGAGTGGCCTGTTAAAACCATAGGCACGTTTAAGGCCCCGGACAAGTGGGCTGCCACCTCTCCAGCATCAGCATAATGGCCATGAATCACGTAAGGCCATGCAGGTTTCCCCCCGTTGAGTTGGTCACCCAGAGCCCTCGCCATATTCACTATGTGGTTTAGAGCCCCATCAACAAATTCAGGAATATGAGGCCAAAGAGACTCTTTGGCTATGTACTTTTCACAAGGACCGCAAGGGATGCGGATAATATAGGCTCCACAACTTCCAGTAGCATCGGAAGGGCATGACAACATCTCTATAGGCTCACCATAGCTTGAATCTACTTCGGATGAGGTGATTTGTCTAGTCAGCAGATCCACCGATCAACCCCTTTGGTGTTCGCTAAAGCTCGAGCAAGTTCAACCACATATTTCACCTGCCCACCCGTATCAGAATCCCTTCCGAGCTCCATGTTTTCACCGCGGAGCAGCCCATGCATGCTGCACGCAATCAACAATCAGCAATCAGCAGGTAATGACCAATGACTTTTTCCATTATTAGACAAGTAAATAAATTTGGTGCCTTGGAACATTTACCTGATTAAGACAATGTAGAGATGTTTAGACTGCCTGTCATTATCATCAAACCAAATTTGCATGTCGGAGTTGATTCTTGATAGATCCTTGATCGGTTCTGAAATATTGGGATCACCCTTCTCTTTCTCGCCTTCGGACAACTCCGACAAGTCATCCGCAGCATCATTACGACCTTGCTCACGTTCAAGTCGTCGTTTTGCTAACCTTCGCGCATCATCCCATGCTATCTGCAAATAATCCTTATGCTCATTTCCTTCGGTATATACATACATAAACACATAAGTTTTCTTGCTTCTTTAAGACTATTGTCCAATTATCCCATATTTCCCCACCTGTACGTGCCAGTGTGCTTAATTATATATGTTTTATGAACACATTTGTGCAATAAAATCTTATCCAATTTGTAATTAATTGTAACATGATTTAATTATGTTAATTTATTAAAATATTTTTATATTTTAATTTTCCTTTTTTTCCTTTTGTATAGATAAATACAAAGAATAATAATAATTTATAATGCAATTTACATTAATATGTTAGTAAAACTAGTTTATAAAATATTGAATTAATTTATAATTTATTTTAATATCTTTCTTTCATTTTTCCCTATTCTTCTTTTGTGAATAAAAAATCAGTATAAAATAAATTACTCATGAAATATAAAGTTTTCTTTATATGACTTAAATGAGAATATATTATATTTATTTATTTGTATTTTTATAATAAATTGGTGCAAATAAGACTTATATTAATAATATGAAGTATTCATCTTTAAAATTAATTCAATTAATTGGTTATTCTTTTAGTGTCTGCTATTCGACAGTTTAATTGAATATTTGGTCAATCATGTATACGATTGTTGCGATGATTGTATTTATAATTTTCTCGTATAAAAATATAATTTTAAGAAAAAAAATATAAATTTAAAATAACTCAAAATTTTATAAAATAATGACTAAAAACTAATAAAGCAAAACAAAATAAAAATAAAAACTTTTTGGGTTAATTGACTAAAAGCCCAATAGTTACTAGGTTAAGAGTCAGGTTTAAATAGTGAGATTATTGTACACGAGGTTCCAAACTATGTTATTATTTTAAATTGATCCTTAAATTTTAAAATATTCTATTTTAACATCAAATTTTTATTATAGTTCTAATTAGGTCCTATAGTATTCCTCATCTACATACTATTTCAGATACTATTGATAAATAAGTTTCTCAACTAAATAATAACATGTGTCACAAATTAATTAGAATATATATTTTGATGAAATAAAAAAAATCGAATCTTGGGTTTCAAATCCAAGAGTGCTTCCAAGTTGTTTTCACTTCAATATCGATTCGTGTCAAGAATTAATATATTATATCTTATAGTTGTATTAAATTTCAATATAAATTAACTTTGATTTTATTTAGTTCGTATTAATATTGTAAATAATATAATATATTAAATTAAATTAAATTGTAGATAATAATTTTATAAAATTTCATTATTAATTACTATATATAACTTGTGAATATAATATTAAAATTTAGCATGCCTACAATATAGGTTAAAATTAAATATTTCACACAAAAAACACATATGCACATATTGAAATATAATTTGATTTTATTATACCTTTTATATTTATAATACTAAATGGATTTTATAATATCAAAATTAAAGTTAGTTTCTAATAGTTTTCATCAAATATAATTATTAGGTGAAGTTGAAATAGTGGACGAAGCTTTGAAGACATATAGACGAAGAGTGTTAAAATGTGAGAGTAATATGGCGCTGTAGCGAATCGAACCCACGCCAATCCCTTAATGAAAATTGGTTGTGCGCAATAGACACCTAACTTCGTAGACTATGCAATTCAGTCACTATCAAGCCCTTAAACGACCCGTTTACTTTATGGTGTTAAACTAAAAATATTTTACACAATTTAGGAGTAAAAAATGAACTTTTTTGACTCTTTATACGATCGTGTAAATTAAAAATGTTTGATTTTCCGTTCACAAGTTAAAGTAGAATTATCAAAATAAGTCTAATTCAGTATTTAATTTGTGACTAGTTTTACTTTTTTTATAATTAAAAAGATTCATATATTTAAAATAATTAGTAAAAAAATTCTTAAATATCATAAACAATTATTTAAAAAATAAAAATAGTAATGAACTGAAATATTAAATTTAGTTGTATTCAATTTGATTATATTTGATATTCGATTCTAGATTGATTATCACCCTTAATATAGAGAGAAGATAAAGAAATGAAAAGGAGTAGAAATAAATGGAAGTAAAGCAATATTAAGGGAAAGAGGAATATAATATACACGTGAGGAACAGAGAAGAAGGAAAGGAAAAGGATGGAGACCTGTTTCTTTTTGCGGGCAAGGTGCCAAATGCGCCAGCACATATTCTCGAGCCTGTTGGTGCGTTCACGGCTATTCCTGGTCGCTATTACCTGCACTCACGTTACCCACCCTTCGTTAACCCAATTCCTTCCATTAATGCATGCTGGAATACGAAAATGAGTTTAGAAGGAAAGTAATCAGTTTACCTTAACCCACGTCCTATGGAGGTCGGATTCATCGAAGCCGTTAATCACTTCTTCCACGAAGTACCTGGTCGGACTAAACGGCTTTTCTGCCTTCAGGAGCTGCTGCTGTTGCGTCGTCGGCTCTTGGAATTTCCCATTCTTCAACTTCCCATCATCCCTCTTATTCCCCGCATCCAGGATCGCTTCCAAGTACCCATTGATCCATTCGTTCCCTCTTCCTGCCATTTCTCTTCAGCTAATTTAATAGTAACTGATTATGAAATGGAGGAGGAGAAGATTTCTGCTGCCTCTTTCATCGGCCAAACTCAACAAAACCAAAGGCTCTTACTGCACTTATATATGTTTATTAGTTATGACGTTGAGAGTTTATTTCAAACTTGTGGAAGTCATAAGCCAATAAGCAAAAGCCTCATAATTTATATAACTAATAAGCATCGATTTGATTTTATAAAGTTTAATTTTTTTAAAATTTAGAATAAATTTAATAAAATAAAATATAGGTCTAAAAATAGAATTAGATTTAAAGTAAAAATCACGAATCAAGAGACCTAGAAGATAATGAAATTATTGTTATTTTTTGAAATCTCGGATTCAAGTATCATGAATGTTAGGAGTATGAACGTTGAAGATCAAATAATTAAAATCATATTTGAACAAATATTACCTTATTTATCTAAAATTAATAAAAAAATAAAATACAAAGTCTTCAACTCTACTCAAGTAATTATTATAATATCTCTATATTTAAAAGTAATTGCCGTAAAATTATTATATTTTTAAATGACAAAACCCACTCCACCTCGTGCCCATCCGAACTAATCTATCCAATATTCTTTCACTGAGATTGCAAAGCTTTTTTTCTTCTTTTTCTTTTTCGATGTAAACAGCCAAAAGTTCTTTAACTGACAAGAAAGAATCCATCACTTTATATATATTACTCATATTCATATATTCTTTCCCAAATTTTATTTATAAATTAAATATTTAAACATAATCATATCATAATCTCTTTCTGTGTATTACACTAAAAATATTAGTTTAGAAGCAGCCTGTATAATATTAGTTTGACACATCTAACTTAGGTTTTAGAATATATTTTTAATTAATTAGGATAAATACAAGATAGTATCTATTAAAAATAACTCTTAATCATTCGACATTGAACGGTCACACCACTAATATTCATGGTGTTCGAATCCGGAACCTCAAGAAATAACAATAATTCTTTCACAACCGAGATCACTTGATTCGTACTAGGTTTTAGAATGTCAGTTTGGATGCATGAAACCTAAATTTAACATTTGCCTTTAACTTAAAGGCAGTGAGCATATGAGCATCGGAACAAGAATAACCCAAGTTGGGAATGGCCGAAAGTGTGTGAAAAAGAATAAGAAGAAAGCAAGCAAGAATAATCCATTATTAAGGAAAAAGGTAAGATAAAGTTGAGGGGTGTAACGATTAATTCGATCACCAAATTAATTCGATCACCAACCGAACTAAATTAATCGAATTTTTTTCTTTAATCGTTAACCTAATCGAAATTTATTTAAAAATTATTAATCGAACCGAAATTTTTTTGGTTAATTCAGTCAATTTTTGAATTAACCGATTTTTTTTTTAAAATTTTTTAATTTATACAACAATTGAATATTTTTAATTAACCAAACAATTTACAATTAATTTAAACAATATCTAGATTTTTTAATTAATTAATATTGATTTAGGTTTAAAAGTTATTAGATCTTAAATTATTAATTGGATTTTAAATGATATGGGCTTAGCCTATGTGTTATATATAATATATTTATTATTTAAAATTTAATTTCGGTTAATTAATCGATTTCGAACCGAACTAACCGTTAATCGAATTCTAAAAAAATATTAATCATTCCTCAATGAACTAATTCGATTCGATCGGTTAATTCGGTTAAAACCGAAAAATAAACACCTCTAATAAAGTTGAGAAAAAAAGGAAAAGAAAGGGCAAGGAAGAAAGATATTAACGTATGGACTTTGGAATACCGAAGGTTACGTCGGGAACATGCAAGGGGAAGAAGATGGGGTTGGCTGCCACTTGGCTATCTTATGCCAAAACAATAATAATTTAATTCCCCATTGATTAATGCTAATGTAATATGAGGCTGAGGGAGAGATAAGATAGAGAATGAGAATCGGAAATGGTGTGGGTGTATATTCCAACGAATATCCCATTGGTTTTTTGCTTTCTTTCATTTCTGTCCGTCCAACTCCTTTTCTTTCCTCTATCCTCAATATTCCTATCACCCTCTATCCATGCAAGTTTTCATGCCCGGACTTCAATTTTGTCTAACTCCCAGATTTATTACACCGTTTTATTTTCAGTTAATTATATTACCCATTCATAAATTATGGCTTTTATTCTAAACTATTCTTTAAATTTTTAAATATTTCAAATTTATTCTTGTCGGAACTGTCCTTAAGTTTTTTATGGCTATGACGGAGAGCGATCCAACTTAATCTTGGGAAATGTTGGGTTTTAAAATAAATGCATAGATAACAAATTTGGAATCGCCATCGACATTTGGGTTAAGTAGGTCGAATACCTAAAAAACTCATTTAAAATAATTTTAAGAAAAATAATTTTAAAAGATGAAAAGTGGTCAATGTTTAACCAGAAATTCGTTTTGAAAAAAGGTTTGAGAGTCGATTATGCGTGGAGAATGATTAGCACCTCTACAGCGCCCGAAATCGGTACCTAAAGGATTATACGTCATCTGAATATTGAAATTGACAAATTTGAATATATATTTAAATTAAGATCATTTTCTTTATATAAATTAAAAGGGGTATTATTTTGTACGAATACTTCTCGAAAATACCTTCATTGTTAGTTAAGGGGCATTTTCATGGATGCTCCATACAAGATAATGTTGTCTTAATTTAGGAAATGGAACAAAATAACAATCTATATACAAAACTAATTATACGTACATAATCATTTAATAGGAAGAACAAACATATATTATGAAGTATAAATACAAAACGTAAAAGAAAACAAAAATGTATTTATCCTATATTAGTTTTACCCTAAAGTTTCAGTGGCCAAAGAGTAATTAATCCAAAACCCTTTGTATTTAAACTTAATATTATTCTTAGTCTAAAACTAAAAATAAATTAAAGAGAATTAAAACCTAAAAGATCTAACCTAAAATCTAACTAATTAAAGAAAAGTTAAACCTAAAGTAAAGTCAATTAGCAATTAAAATTAAAATCAAATAAATGAGATTAACACGTAAAAATGATAAGATAAAATCATCAATGCAAATTAGTAAAAAAATAACCAATAATTCATAAATGACAAAATGAATTTATTAAACTAAATTAATATCAGACCTAATTAATAAAATAATTATTCTAGAGACAAAATAAAAAAAATACCCAATCAATGACCTAATTTAAACTAATTATAAAAATCTCATATTGACTAAATTGAAGTAAATGCAAATTAAACATGCAAAATTGGCTTTATGATAGTGATAAAGTCTAAAGATTTTAGAGAGATGGCAGAAGGTGTTTCTTCTAGTTGGTGCTTCAAAGACTTTTGAAATTAAAACAGAGGCCCTCTCTATTCTTATGCAGTAGCAACAAAAACTAAATTCATTTGGGAAGAGATACGGGTCAAACGTGACAAGGTTTCATGGCACAAGCGAATTTGGTTTCCCCTCCACATCCCTAAATTCAACATTATTACTTGGATGGTTATCCTGGATAAACTCTCAACCAGGGAAAGACTCACTCGTATGGGAATTGCCACTGTTGGTTCTTGAGTTTTATGCAACGAGGCCCTTGAATCGAGAAACCATTATTGTTGACTATACAACAACAATTACCCTATGGAAAGCAAATTTAAACCTTAATCACTTGACCAAGCCTCTTATGTCATGGGAATATGCTTGCATGGGCTTCTACAACTTGGAAAGGTAAATCACTCCTTACCTCCATCTTGAAGATTGCTTGGTGTGCTTTCATTTACATTGTTTGGGAGGAAAGAAATAGAAGATATTCCAAGGAAGGGCTCGAACGGTTGAAGAGATGGTAAGCTTCATAAAGGAGATTGTTGGTACTCATCTTAGAAATAGAGATCTTAATAGACTTGATAATGTTAATATTTTTCTCTGTAACAATTGGGGTATAGGCTAACCATTTTTTTATTGTAAATAGCTTGTCTTCGTTCCTTGATTGGGATGTTTTTGTATTGAACTCTTCTATTGGATAATAAAATTTTTTACTTATCCAAAAAAATATGTCTAAATTAGAGGGGATAAAGCATAATTTTTCAATTTTTTTAAACATAAAATATTATAACATACGAAATCTGAATAATTACAAAATCGAGACAGCAAAATTTAATTAAAAACAAACATAACACAACATGTGACTAAGTTAGAAAAACGCTAAACATTTGGTGACCTTAACCAAATTATCCCTAATTAACTTATATAAAAATCTAAATTTAGGTTAAGAAACCCTAATATAATCATTTTCTCAGACGTTTCTCACCTCTCTTGTTCCCCGTTCTCTCATCCTCTTTGCTCGACCGGGAGCCACAAAGGCCTTACACCCACAACGGCCATCGATTTGGTGGCCACTCCAAGCTCCGTAACTACTCAACACTCAGGCTGACATAAACCCTCTCATGCTTCGACCACATTGAGGACCTCCTCAAACCTTCGAACGAAATCTAGAACCCCGGTTTAGGGTAAAACCCACAAAACCAAGACTCCCTTTGCCTTAAATCAATGCTCACGTCTCCGACCACCACCCATGGTGGTTGGTTCACTAAAATAAACCCCTAAAACCCGAGGTTATCCCATCTCTTTCTCCTGAAACACTAAATGGAGCCTCCCAAAAGCTCTAAATCGACATGCAAGGCCTAAACGACCAAATGATTCAACCCTTTGAATACCCTCCCCGGCGATAAGCGACCGACGACTCTCAACCGACCAAGGTAATAGAACTAGAACTATCTCCTTTTCCCTTTTTTTTAGTTTTGAAATCTTGCTAACAAAGGAACAAATATATATTTTTTACCATGACAATGCTCTGTTTTGTGTTGTGGGGTTGATAATCGAAAGAAAAAATGGGAAATGTGTTGCTTCATTCGAATGAAGAAAAGGACTCTCTGTATTGCTTCTACTTCCCTTCGAAAATGGTGGGATTACACTCTGTTTTTTAAAAAGAAGTGTCCCCTTCGAAATGAAAAAAAGGTCCCCTACTTACATTGATTTTCCACTGAGAAAATGGGGTAGAGAAAATGGTAGCCGAGATACCCCATTT